TTTTATTTTATGTGTATGAGTATATTGCCTGTCTGTATGTGAGTACACCTGTGTCATGCAATGCACGGAGGTCAGAAGAGGGCTTCAGATTCCCCTGGAACTGGAGTCAAGAACAGTTCGTAGCTGCCACACGGGTGCTGGGAATTGAACTCGGGTCCTCTGCAAGAGCAGTCAGTGTTCTCCACCGCTGAGTCATCTCTCCAGCCCCATGACTCTAAATTCTGACATGATATTCTTTAGCAGGCAGGCTATGCTTGGTGCTCACAGGGGACCAATTGAAAAATGGCTGATATATATAACACCTGTTCACATACTATTACGTAGTAAACTAAAGAAACAACTGATTAGACAGAACAAATTTTAATCAAGTCAAAAATTTATACAACCTTGCTGAACATAATATGTACAACATTAAATTCTTAGTAATACATGTAATTGTTTTCTCTATGTAGGAGTACCTCACTTTCAGCAAAGCTGATATATCATAGCCCAACTTACCATTCACCATTTGGAAGCTTTGACATAAGAGTTTTGGAAATAACACACTCCCAAAACACATTCAAACAGTTTGATCTTTTAAAACTAATTTGCATCTAACTTTAGAGAGACCACCTACTGTTCAAACAAGGCATATCTGCTATGCTCTGTGAGCACATGCTTCAGCTTCAGGTAAAGGCTTTTCTATATATAAAAATAAAATCTCGTCTTAGGAGAAGATAACTGAATTCATGAGGTATGTATCTGAGGATGTGTGCATAGTGTAAGCACAGAGTGCAGGCCAGGGTCTGGTGAATGCACAACCCAGTACACTAGAGTTTCTGTCCATACATTTCCCCCTTACAAAATGTGTATAATCCAAAACCTTTTCAAGAGGGTAGGAGACACAGCTCAGTGATAGAGCACTTCCTAGTATGCTCAAGGCTCTAGGTTTGGTCCCCAGCACTGCAAATAAAACAAAAGTAAAACCAACAAAATAACCCCAAACCTCTTGAGGAAGCACTGTGTGCTACAGCAGGCAGGCCTTATGGGTATGTATAAATGTGCAAGGATGGGTACACTGCCATGGTGGCGCGGTCTCTCCTTGTGGCAGGATATCTATTCCTAGGCCAGTTTGGCTTCACATCTGGAGGTGATCCTAGGCTGGAATCTGTGCTTCGCTTTGGAGAGCATGATGCTGTAAAGCCTGGCTTCTTACTCTGTACAAACAAGATAAAAGAGGTGAATTCACTTTCTGTTGCGATTTCTAAGTTACAGGCAAGGTTGAGGTTGGCTTTACTAGGAAGTATTTGCATCATCTGCCAAATACCAATGTGGTCAACAGTGTTGCAAAGCAGAGGTGTATCAAGCAGCTGACCTACTTTCTCCACAAAGTAAAGGTCTATGGGCAACATTTTAATCCCCACAGAGAGGAAGGTTTGTCCTTTATAAGCTGTCCACAAACACAACAAAGGAATGTGGCTACCCCACATTTCCAACTCTGCTATCTGACATGCTTCTGGAAGTTAAACTGCATCACTGTTAGAAAATATTCCACAGGAAACTTCAAGAAAATGAAGATAAAAGCTTACACAGCATTCATCTGGCACATTGGCGGTTCGGTTATAACAGAATCAGCAATGTTTCAGCTGTGCATCTGGTTTTGTTACCCACAGATGGTGCAGTGAGTACTAAGGGAGGATGAGGACAAGTTCATCACCTACTAGTAGAAGACTTTAGTTATTTTATTTAGTTATTTTAATTAATTTTGGCTCTTTGAGACAGGGTCTTGCTATGTAGTCTAGGCTGGCTTGAAATTCACTGTCTGGCCTCAAACTTGTGATCCTCTTGCCTTTTGTTTTAACTTCTCTTGTCCTTGCTCTTCAGTTTGTGTTACACCATGGGAATCTGTGTCTTGTCACCCACCTTATCCTTACTTAGTCTTTTAAGGGTCCTATACATGTAGACCCTCCAGAAGACACTGGAGGTAAATAAGAATATCAACAACAATTAGTCCACACAGCAGACTTGAGGAAAATGGCAGGACTTCACCTTGGGAGGGAGGATTGTTCATTGTGTGTCTGATTAACCTTGGTTACTGCAGTGATTTTCAACCTTCATTTCACCCAGACACACATGAACAGTATCATCCTGTCACACCCAGGCCTATAGGAGGTCTAGCTACCTTTATCTGGCTTTTTGAGACAGAGTCACATTCATAGACCAGGCTAGCCTTGAACTTGAGATCTTCCTCTCTCGGCATCCTGAGTGTTAGGATTACAGGTGTGTGTCACCATGCTCAGCCAAACCAGGGCTATTTAAAAGAGCAGTTCCCAGGGCTAGAGAAATGGGTAAACAGTTAAGAGTACTTGCTGCTCTTACAGAGGAGTTGGATTCAATTCCCAGCACCTACCTGGCAGCTCACAACTGTCCTTAACTCCCATTCTAGAGGATCCAACACCCACTTCTGGACTACACAGGCACCAGGCATGCACATGGTGTACATATATATATATGCAGCCACTCACATATACACATGAAACAAAAATAAATCTATATTTTTTTCAAAAGGCAGCTCAAAGCTGTACCTCACAGGAAAAAAATGTTCAAGTGCAATTGAGCATGAGAGATGTTGGGCATAGGGACACTAATAATTCTATTGTTTTAGAAAAGCAAAAAATTCACTATGGTTTGAATATGCTTTGTTTCCTTTGAAATTCATACTGAAATCTGAATCTCACTGTGGTGTTTAGACAGCTGAACCTTTAAGAGGTTAATAAATTTTTTTTTGGGGGGGGTCTTTTTGAAGCAGGGTCTCCCTGTAGCCCCAGCTGGCCTGGAACTCACTATGTAGACTAGGCTGGCCTTGAACTCACAGAGATAAAATTTTGCAGGCTTGCTTGTTTCCTTTTGTTTTGAGACAGTGTCTCCCTGTAGCCTCAGCTGCCCTCGATCTCATAGAGATCCACCCGCCTCTGCCTCCTGAGTGCTAGGATTAAAGGTGTGGGCTACCACGCCCGGCTAGAGTTAAAATTTCTTAACCTCTTGCTGGGCGTGGTGGTGCATGCCTGTAGTCCCAGCACTTGGGAGGCAGTGGATCTCTGTGAGTTCAAGGCCAGCCTGGTCTACATAGCAAGTTTCAGGGCAGCTGGGGCTACAGGGAGACCCTGTCTCATAAAGACAAAACGAAACAAAACAAACAAACAAACAAAAAAGAAATTTTAACTCTTATAGGGCTGGGCTAATTTTTGAGGGACTGGATTAATTACTTCAAAATAGGTTATTATAAAGTAAGGCTGCTTCTTGCAGCTTGCTTCTTCTGAAAACACTTGCCCTTTAGTCTTCTAGTATGTCATGAAGCACAAGACTCTCACCACAAGGGGCCACCCAGTCTTAGACTCCAATCTTCAGAAATATGAATGTCTTTCCTTTATAGATTACCTAGCCCCAGGGCTAGAGAGATGGCTCAGTGGTTAAGAGCACTGGCTGCTCTTGCAGAGGACCTGGGTTAGATTTCCAGCACCCACATACGTGGTGGCTAACAACCATCCATAACTCCAGTTCCAAGGGATCCAACAGCCTCTTCTGACCTCTGTGGGCATGGCATGACAGGGGTGCACATATACACAACACATGTAGGCAATACACTCATATGCATAAAATAAAAATAATAAAATATTGCCGGGCGTGGTGGCACACACCTTTAATCCCAGCACTTGGGAGGCAGAGGCAGGTGGATCCCTGTGAGTTCAAGGCCAGCCTGGTCTACATAGTGGGTTCCAGGACAGCTAGGGCTACAGGGAGACCCTGTCTCAAAAATACCAAAAATAAATAAATAAAATATTTTTAAAAATTCCTTAGCCCCAGGCATTCTGTTACAGCAGCTAACTGATGGTGACATTCCATGCACTGGTAGCATCTCCCAGGGCAGAGACCTACTACATCACATACTCAGGATTACTGTTTAATCTGACATGTTGCCACGGAGATACAAACTGATGGCAGCCTAACAGATGTTTGTTGAAATAAAATTAAATTCTTGATATCTAGCTTTTAGCTCTGGGTGGGCTATCTCTGGTCTTGTACGATCTTACTGGCTATGCCCCAGACTGGCCAGGTGCTTTGAGCCTGAGGGGACAAACTGCCTTAACTATTTACCTGGGCACAACAAATCTTAGAAGGCAAAACTATGGACTATATACTTAGATTATTTAAGCTGGGTGTGGTGCTTGCATGCCTGTAATTCCACACTTGGGAAGCAGAATTATCACAAGTCTAAGGCCAGCCAGGTCTACATAATAGACCCAGGCTAGCCCAGGCTACATATTGACACCCTGTCTCAAACAAAAGAAAAGATAACGAAACAACAACAAAGAAAAACAAAACAAAAATGAGGAAATTAACATGAATTGCTGGCATGTGTCTGCAGAGATGAGCTCAAGTACCTGTACTCTTTCTTTACTCTTGGGGAGAACCAGGCTGATCAATGGTTGGTCCAGGGAGGTGCCTTTGGCTCTTCCACTTAATTGTGCCTAAAATAAATTAACATATTCTTACTAAGTTTTCCATGTGAAGAGTGTGAGCATACTGAGAACATATATTATTTATGTGATTTTCATTCATGCATGTTGACTCATGAGGATAATGTAACACAATAAGGCAAGACACACATGTATAACAATTCAAGCTGGGCGTGGAGGTGCACATCTTTAATCGCAGCACTCTGGAGGCAGAGGCAAGTGGCTCTCTGAGTTCTAGGCCAATCTAGTCTACATAGTGAGTTCCAGGCCAGCTGGGGCTACAGGGAGACCCTGTCTCAAAACAACAACAACAAAACCAATTTAAAAGAAAAGGACTGCTGGGCATGGTGGCACACGCCTTTAGTCCCAGCACTTGGGAGGCAGAGGCAGGTGGAT